TTATATATATATATATGTAGAGATACAGAGGCCATAAGCGGCTGTTATCCGAACCTTAAGCGCTAAACACAAAGCGCGAAACCCAAAGCCAAAAAGAGTGCCTGGATTTGCCTCATCTCGTCGCCTAAGCGACGGCTACGCTCAAGCTGCTGGAGCGCCTGGCAGGAAAGCCTTTTATTCCTTTCGGTTAGAGGTTTAGGGTTTCAAACTTCAAGGGTTTGCTCAGTGACGCGCGTCTGGCTGCAATCATTTGGCATCCTAGATTTTGGGTCTACCTTGAGCTACCGAAACCTACTTTTTTGCACGAGTAGGGTCCCGATAAATATTATGCCGGGATTTATAATGAGAACCGACAAGCTTGTAGGTTCTAGTAGTTTAAGGTAAGGCTTTAGGGCTTAGGGAGTTTAAGGGTACTGCGGTAGAGGCCTCAGATGTCCAGGTCTTCTTCTGGCTCTCAATAAACCTACCTTTCTGGGATGACTCCCTGGTATCTTCCCTCGCCAAAAACAAAAAATGGAAAAGGCATGGCTTTTCGGGCTACGTAAGTTCGAAGCTCCTTATAACCCACCATAGTCCTGATATAAGTGTACTGTCATGTACCCTCGAGTGTACTATCATATACCCTCAACGCCCAAGCTATTCGAGTCCGGTGAGCATGGCACTCTTCACAATACGTGCTTACCTAACCCGCCTTTCTCAGATATTTGGGCGAGCTCATTCTGAAAGTGGTGTAGTCTTTGGGGAAGAAAGCAACCCTGGCTGTCAGAACCATACCCTGGTGTCAGGATCATGTACCCATATTATAGTATATATGTTTTCTGACCTAGAGTTCCATCATCGACACCTATTTAACGCCCATGTATCTACATCGAGTATGTAGGTGCATAGACCGCGGGCATCCGGGAACTCCCAACATGGAACCCTGCAAGCTCTGCGCAACAGCAAGCAGCACGCACCCTACAAGCCGTGGGGAGCCGTAAACCCTAAACCACCGAAAACCTGCATTCTAAAGGAACCTTGTAAGGGAATCATTTAAAAAGAGAGGAGCCATGAAAGGTAGGCTTTCTTGAGTTAAGGTAAGCCCTCAGGACTAAACAATACCAGGAGATGCGAAGGAGGCCTCTTCCCGACGGGCTTTCAGGGCCTGGCAGGAGCTGAGAAGGGACGTGAAGCGAGCCAGAGGTGGAGGTGGAGCTTCATATGGCTTGCGGTTTCGGGGCCGTGCAGGAGTGTAGGGTTTGGGGTTTCGGGCTTCGGAGCTTTTTGTGCTTGGGGGTTTGGGTTTTCTGGGGATCTTGATAACTTTAGGCAGCGCTTCGGGACATAGGACCTGTTTGCTGAACCAAGTCCCTACCTGTCATGCAAGACCACTGCACATCGCGCGGCCGCTGTTGGCACAGGAATAAAACTCGTAAACCCTCAGCCATGGCCTAAATACCAAGGAACCCTGCGCCCAGAGCCCTCTACGAACGGAGAGTTTCTTGACTTTCGGGGCACCTCATTCAATCGTGTTTATCAGGATTCTACGAAACCTTAAACAGCGATAATTAATTGGGTTTCGGGGTGCATCTTCTATATAGAACCTATATTTTGCAGAACTTACCTGGAAGTTTGGGCTACCTGTATTGGTGTCCCTCGAAACCCAAAAAACAGAGAGGCAGAGAGAGAGAGAGAGAAAGCTCGGCGCGAGCTGCGGGCTTGCGCGCTTGTTTGTCCTCACCCCGGCGCAGGAATTCGCCCACCGCGCTGCACCAAGCATCGCCGCCCGTCGCGGCTGCCCACCTGATCTCTCCTACAGTATACATGATTTTTTTAGGGGAGCCCCTAAAGGGACCCTTAGAGGGTCCATGTAAGCCAATCCTAGGACCTCCAGTCCCTCCAGAGTCAGAATGGCTATTGGCACCTCAACAACGATTTTTTTTAAGACGATTTTTAGAGTTTAGGGTTTAGGGTACTTGGACCCTTGTTTCAAGTTTGCATGCTCAGGGTTGCTGGGCCCAAAACCCGAAGCGCTGCGGTCTGAAGGTTGGAAGGATGCATGCTACCTTAGCAAGTATTCCTGCGGCGACATTGCTCTGAAATCCGTTCACCTTCAGAAAAACCGATCCTGGCATGACTAGCCTGGCTTGACCAACGGCTCCGACATTGCACTAAAACGCGCGGTCGTCGAACTTTGCCCTATACACAATCGAGACCTTCCTGCTGGAAAAGCTCGAAACAAGCTTGCAGTGAATAGCTGTGAATCCATTGCAGCCCTAAGGCCTAACTCGAAACCCTAGACCAGCCTCGCCTTTCGGGCGACATAGCAGCTGGCAAATCTGTAATGATTGAAACACGATTTTGAGCATATTACACTTTGGATATTAAAGAGGAACCCACGGCATGTAGCATTAGCAATTGGTAACTTTTCAGGCTTCTATATAGCCCCAAATCGTGAAGCTCTCAGAGCCTAAACCGAGACGAGTCTGAATCGACACACGCAGCACGCGATTTGTGAAGCCTTTCGTAGTCAGCGACGGGAAGCACCGTTTGCTTGGGGAAGTTGGTTACCTGCTAGCGGATGCTTGGGGGTCCCGGCGCTGCAGGCTTTAGGCGTTCTGGTGCTTTACCATTCGGGCTTTGTGTCAACAACTCTCGCACAATCGGACGATAGACATCACATGATATTTGTGTACACCCAGGGGGCTCTCTTGGCCTGTCACCTGGAAGCTGAAACAAGACTTCGCGATTCTGGCTGCGTGCGGCTGATCGCTCCGTCGCCGCCATCATCTCCAGCACTCAGAGGCTTTAGTACAGCGTTTGACCCTCAAGCGTAGCTTAATCGGGCTCCTCACCAGCATGGAGGGATCTACTGCGGCCGCAACATGCATGATCTCAGTCTTGGTTACCGTTACTGTATCTACAGTAAGCTGCCACTACTGGTCATCCTCATGACCATCCTCAGCATCATCCTCACCACCATCATGATCATCGCCACCAATAGCCCAACAGACTCATAAGGGTGTCGGGCTCAGAAACCTTAGTCTCCAGTGTCGCTTGTGGTCATAATTCAGAGCGGACCATGATGGTCAATTCTAGTTCTAGGTCAGTAAAGCCCTGCGCAGAAGTTCAAGACTCGTGCCATCGCTGCAGGTTGCACAAAATATGTTACGGGTTCATGCTTTATGTGACTCTGCATGGTGTTTAATTTATGCTGTTACAGAGTTTTCGAGCGGTTTCGTGTACCCATAGGCCCCATAGTAGTTCCTTTTTGGGATTACCTTATAGGATTCTATATATGAACCCCCAAAACGGGACTACTATGGGGCCTATAGGTAGCTTCAAGGGGGCCAGCACATACGCTCGCTGATATACCTCAGCCAGCACAGGCCCTGGGACTCTCGGAGCCTCGATAGACGGTTTAGGGTTTAGGGTTTAGGGTTTAGGGTTTAGGGTTTAGGGTTTAGGGTTTAGGGCCCGAGAAGTTGGAACAAGCTATTCGGCGGATCTCATGGCACATCTTTATCAACAGATATTACATGATATTACCACTAATTAATTAGCCGAGCAAATTTATATCAACAGCTATTACATGATATTACTACTAACTAATTAGCCGAGCAATATATATGAAGAGATCTTACATGACATTACTACTAAGTAGTCGAGCTTAAACACTAGGCCCAGCCCTGCCTTTCGCACCGTGCTGGCGAACTTCAGCGTGCGAGCAGTCTCCTCCTGGCTCCGGGACTCCGATTCAGAATCTCACCAAAGGCGGCTTTGGGGAAAGATGCTTTCAGGGTGGCAATTTCGGAGTTTGGCTTTCGGATGTCGACGCTCCTCCTTGGAGACTCCACATGAGGACTGGTCGATGCAGCTTGGAGGAGTAAAACTGGGAAGTTGAGGATCTTGAGTGTAGGGTTTAAGCGGTGGACTGAAGCCCTGCGTGTGTCTGGTGAGAACGGATTCAGTTTTTGAGAGTTCTAGGGTGAGATTTCGGGGTTTAGGAATAAGATGAAGCAGGGGTGTTCTATCAGGGAGCATGCCCTTTCCGTCCGTAAAGTGTTCGGGTGTCAGCAAACCAACGGTGCGGACAGGACATGACCTCGGCCGGACAGCAACGCAGATGGCCCAACCCCGAACACACCAGCTCATACTCCACAGAACCCTCAACCCCAAAATGCCCACATACAGCTGTGAATACATCCATCCATCAATCCATCCACCCATCCATCCGTACATACATACATACATACATACATACATACATACATACGTACGTACGTACGTACATACATACACATAACAGCTACATACCTACGTACATAGATACATGTAAACAACAAATAAGGAATGAATGAACGAACGAACGAATGAATGAATGAATGAATGAATGAAAAAGCAAGTAAACAGCAGTAAAACAAATTTGAACTAAACAAATTTAAATACAAACGTGAATATAAATATAAAGAAAATACATGAATAATATATGTGTATATATATATATATGCACATAGTATATATATATATATATATGTATATATATATATGTGTGTGTGTGTGTAAGTGAGTATGTATGATGACCTATAACAGCTGTACATCCGCTGCTTCCCACCCGTCAGTCCGCATCAGAAACAGTGGGGCTGCAGGCAGCAAGCAGAACCTCGAGTGGACGCTTCGGGCTGCGGGATTGGGCCCTACTCATACACTCCCACCGCTGCCAGGATACGGCTGCTGCCACGACTACGACGACTACGACAACGACTGCTGCGACTGCTACTGTGGCTATTTGTGCTACTGTTGGTGCGACTGCCGCCTTTGCTGCTACAATGCCACGACTGCGGCAAAGACAATTACGACGACTATCAGTTCCACCACTGGTTGCTGCTGCCATACTCCTACTACTGCTGTTATCGAAACGTCTGGCTGAACACGATGCGCAAAAACGCGGAAATCTCAAGCCCTCGATTGGGCCCCAAACCCAACAGCTCTGCTGTACACAAGTCCAGTCCCTCGCAACCTCAGGCTCCAATATCAGCTGCCGGCACCAGCGGCATGGGCCCACACAGTGCCGGCTGCAACAGCTGCCTCAGGGTGGGTACGTTCTGCATGACGTTGTTCTACATCACGCTCCCTCTAGCATGTTGCCTCTGGCAGCAAGTTTATGGTAGCTTCTTTCAACAGGTTTCTCAGCATCGTTACTCCTATTGCTACGCTTGGTTGCTCTTGTTATGGCTCTTGTTGTTCTAAGTGCTCAACCCACTTCGAGCTATCGCACACACTCCCGGAATTCATCAAGATCTGACCCGAAGTCTCGCGAATCCTGTATGCCGGTTGTTGAGTCACACCCAGGGGCCGCCAGTTTGAGGAGGCATCATTTCGACGCAAGAAGCAAGGAAGCTAGGCAGCACGACTTAGACTTTCACGGGCCTGTAAGCCCTAAATCTGGCCCGCTGCACAAGGGCGAACCTCTCTTTACGGAAAAGTAGTTCCTGTTTGGGGTTCATATTTAGAATCCTACTAGGGAATCCCAAGAAGGAACTATGGGGCCTATAGGTAGGGCCCCTTTGTCTGCTTAAGGGGAGATCTGCTAGCAGGATTTCCTTCAAACCGAGGGTTGAGTTCTTCCGATACCAGTAAAGTCCGAGATCGTGGCACCTTACCGTAGGACGTCGACGCGCTCCGCCGTTCTACACAGTGTCGGACAGAGTTAAGGTTTTTTTTCCCAGAGTTAAGGTTTAGGGTTCAGGTTTTAGGGTCCCAATACCCCCTGCTCAAACCTGAATAACCACAGCACAGTGGAGGAATTCCTGATGCAAACGAGCCCTCATAAGAATCCTTTTTTTGAACGAGGTCTCTCTGAAGTGCCTCCAACCTGCCCGCCACAGCGATGACTCGTGCATCCACAGGCTTGTGAATCCTAAGCCCCAAACCCCAAGAAACCTTTTTCAGCATGGGCTTGGATTGTGTGCCAGCAAACCCAAACCCCAAACCATAAGAATCCTCAACCCCAAATCATAAGAATCCTCAACCCCAAAGCCCAAGAATCCTAAACCCAAGCTGTCCAGTTGCGTCAACTTCGAGTTTCTGTAAGGCACGAAGGAGCCACGCCTGTGCTCCATCATCGGCTGAGGGTTTAGGGCTTAGTTTAAGGTTTAGGGTGCGCGTAGGGTTTGGGGTCTAGTTTACGCTTTGGGGTTGAGTTTAGGGTTTAGGGTTTAGTTTAGGGTTTGTGGTAGAGCGACGGTGAATGGCCAAACGGACGCACAATGGGAACACGCCCCCGTGGGAGGAGGCATGTTATGTCGTCCCTAAAGCCAAAAACCTACCCAGTCCTTCTCTCAATTTGGTGGACCACAGAAGAGTTAAACCCAATCTAATAGTTAGACAAAGTTCTGGGGTACGTCATAGCACATGTGTAGTAGGAGCTGTAAGAAGATACTGATTGCATGGCTTTTGTTTCCGACCCTGCTGAAGAAAAGAGCTGAGGGCCGCCTTTTCAAACCCTGCACCCCAAACCCTACCTGTAGCCGGAAAGACCTACCTTTTTAGGGTTCCTTATTATGGTTTCAATATATAGTTCCTTAAAAAAAACCCTGGCCCTAGGACTCCTTGATCGAGCTCGGGAAGGTTGCAGGTCAGCTATCATCCTAGAGCCCTGCGCAAAACAGGGAGGCCCTCAGAGCAGCTGGCATATAGGCTTACCCTTTCAAGCTATGTCGTGTTTTGTTGTGGGGTTGAAATAAAAGCATAGTTGCACTCTGTTTTGAATTTCGAAACCTCAAGTAATTGTACTAATGACTTAGACGTCAGTGAACTGTAGCGGGCCCCGTCTCTTCTGCCAAACCTCGACGCCTGACTGTTACTGTTCGCCATGTGCTCCAGTTAACGCGTTGCGACTCCTGTCTTGCATCTGGAAAATGCCGAACCTCAATCAAACAAGCCCTTAGGTCATTCAACACAATTCAACACTCTACCCATAGGCCCCATAGTGGACATAAAGGAACCACTATGGGGCCTCTGGGTATTAAACACCTAACAGCCATCCCGCAAGTCCTCACCCACTTGCGCCCTGCACGAGAAGACTGCGCATACAAATGTAGAGCGTCAAGCTTAAACATGTGGCCCTTGCAGAAGGTTTAGGCCTTTAGGGGTTTCAGGCTTTATAGGGCTCAAATGCTGTATCAGGGGTTCTAGGATAGGGATTCAGAGGGAGTGAGCTTGAACTTGAGAAGCCTTAGCGTCGACAAACTTGGTGTTTAGGCTTCGCGTTTTGCGCTTAGGGTATTGGGCGTTTAGGGTTTAGGGCTTAAGGCCTTTAGGACTTTTAGGGGTTGGGTTTTAGGGTTTCTAGGGCTTTTCAGGCTTAGGGAAGCTTCTCATACTTCTGGTGTCCCAATTAATAGTATAGGAAGTTGATCGCAGGTGATTTCTGCACCTTGTCGCACAAGCGCACTCCAAAGCCCCCAACTGAGTCTCAAGCTGTTCCGTGTTTTGATTATGATTGATTCTGGTCTTGCTGTAGTCGTTGTCCTGAATTCTCGCGAGGTGTAGGGCCTGCAGTTGGGTCCTAGTCTTGCCGAGCACCCAACCTAAAAGACATGAAGGATTGCGAATAACTCCATACGAAAGGCCTCCCGCAGGCATCAACCACGGTTTGGAGCGCTTCCACGGCCAGTATCCTGCGGGGCAACTTCCCCTTAACCCTAGTTTCCCTAAATCTTTCAATCCCTCAATCACTGAACCGCAATACATCCAAGCTTGAACAAGTCGGAGAACTTCCCGGATCCATGTTTGAGTCGGATGCCCAGGCCAAAATGCAGAACTCCCACGTTCGGGTTTAGGGTAGGGTTTAGGGCTTTTTGGAGGGTTTTAAGTCTCGCATCCTGCGCCCTGGGTTCATCGTGCGATCCGAATTCGCCACGTCCACGAAACGGACTGTGGAGGTGGCGATCTTCTCTCCTTGAGGCGGGGAAGGAAATTCCGGAAAGGGGCATTGGGGTTGAGAGTGCAAGATTCGGTCTTCAGAACTTGGGGGGTGGCTTCTGGTGCCGATGATACCATAATCCTACAGGGCCTACGTGGGCAAGACTGCTTCTGACTACTCAGATCTCTGTACCAAAACTCGGCTGTTATTTCAAAATTTTAGTGCTTAGGTAGAAGGATCCCATCGATGCAATACCCAGTGCATGGCATGAGAGACCATCTCAGCTAACAAGTTGAACCCTGCTTAGGTAGAATACAAAACCCTAAACCGCCGAAACCCTAAACTTCCTCAACCCCCTACGAACACACCAGGTAGAAATCACCCCTAAGCCGAGCCGAGGGGCCTCTGAAGCGGGAAACGTGCAGTTGGAAAAACGCGGAGACCTGTTCGGGTTTCGGGTTTAGGGTTCAGGCTTCGGGCTTCGAGTTCGGGTCTGGGTTCAGGGTTTAGGGTTTAGGGTTTAGGGTTCAGGGTTTAGGGTTACGGGTTTAGGGCTTAGGGTTAACGGTTTAGGGAGTCGAGTTCGGGTCTAGGGTTCCGGGGCGGTTTCGGGATAAGGGCCTATAGGTGTTAAGAAAGTCGTGTACAAAGGGCTTCTTTCAGACCTCCGTAGAGGCTGGATACTCGATTGCCATGTGGGCGTTGTGCTGGAGTTCGTGGTTCATGTAGGGGCCTTAGAAACTAGAATATGGTCTTGGGGCCCAACATACTATGACTATAAAAAGGAAACCCCCAAAATAGTATTGGTAGTTACTACACGGCCCCTACATTGACTTAGCTCCTTTAGAGTTCGGTGCCACGCCTTGGATGATGTGCCACGGGCCGAAAGCAATGGGCACCGTCAAGGAGGAGCTTAGTTCCATATCCCTTGTCTTCATCTTTCCGTTATTCTGGAATCCCACGGCCTCGCTCCTTTTTTGGTTTAGGGTGTGGGAGTTAGGGTTTAGGGTTTGGGGCTTGGGGTTTAGGGTTTAGGGCTTGGGGTTTAGGTTTTGGGGTGTAGGATTTCGGCTCTCACACTCGGACAAATGCAGGCGAGGCTTGTGGTCATAGATCGGCAAGATGAAACAATCAACAGAAGCCAGGATAAAACACTTCACACAATAGTAAGACCCTTCTAGGGGGTTTAGGGTTTAGTGTGTGTTCAAACTGTTTTGCACATTTTCCTGCCAGGCCCTCTGCTAGACCCTGCCTGCCCTATCGCATAACCTGCCAAAATCCTTGCTCGCTTGCGCCACCTGGCCTGTGTAAGCATGTGGCCCCCTGCGTCCCCCCGAAGCAAATAAACTTCCAGATCCAACTCAAGCCCCACAGGAAGTCCATCCCCTAAACACAGGTCTTACAAAGCTCGGCTGCATGGCAGAGCATCGTTGAACAAAGCAAGGTGAGTTAGTTGAGCGTCATCGCGACTTCTGTTGGGTTGCTCTGTGTAAAGGGTTGAGGGATGTTGCGGGCATCGAGACTTTGTAAATTCCGATCAGCAGTTCCCAAAGAGCCTGCCGAGTGCTGTCGCTCACCTACAGCATGTCCTTTATCACACACTACCTACCTCTAAACTTGACTGCCTTGGCAACACACAGCTCCTGCCTCTCATGTCCATATCATCCTCGCTATCGTGAGCATCTCCATGCATCATCACCGACATCGTTGCCCATCACCATCATCATCACCATCATCCATATCATCTTGGTCATAAGCACACGGAAGACATCCGCATCGTCTGAAGCCTTCACGACTGAAGAGGCCCTGCAGTGGCTCTCAGAGTCTCCGTGGTCCTTTCACCATGCCATGACCCCCGATTATAGAGCAGCGAAGGCATGCACCGACATTGAGAGCACTCACTGTGAGGCAAGCCAGCAAACGGAATACTGCGAATTCAGAGGCTAAACATGCAAATGAAAGCGTGGACAAGTCAGGACTGGTAGGCTTTACCGCAATTCTCAACTCACTGGTTGAATCTACTGTGGAAGGCCGTGCCTCACTGCTCTGGATCTCCATATCAGTGCAGGCCACCTGTTGTAGAGCACCCTACAAAAAACACGGGCATATGACGAGTCTTAGGTGGACTTCACGGTCTCCATATAAGCCTAGGCGTTCTAGTGGTTGGGGCAGTTGTCAATGGTTCGATTAGAAGTCCCGTTCTACTGTGTAAATATGCCAAATACATCGTTTCGGCATCTTCAGGCACTGATGTTCCTTGCAAAACAGTTCATTGTAACATAGAGACGTGAGATGTGAAACATAAGCCGTTCTTGAGCGGTGTTTGTGCGTAAGGGAATGCTTGACTGAGCGATCGAGTGGGTGAAGGAGGGATTTAGCCACTGTTGGAGCTCCGGCACCGACACTTGGAAACAAGACAGGCTTCTGTAACAACCATGCAGCTATTGTCACGACGACGGTAGGAAATCCGTCAAGTCGCCAGTAGTTCCACGAAGGCAATTTGTGCACTTGTGATCACGAAGCATTCATTACGGTGCCGCTGCGCCCCAACAACAGGGCTCTAGGAAGAAGGGGTCGTATGGGATAAGGCAGGAAGGGACAACGAAACAACCCCAAAGCCAAAGAGCCTGGCTTCGCTGGCCGATGTGCAATTACATCTGAGATGCCTCAAACCGTAACCCGTGGCCCTTCCTGACACCCAGACTCTGCCAATCAGCTGGGAGGAGCATACCCATAGGCCCCATAGTAGTTCTGTTTTTTGGGATTACCTAATAGGATCCAAAATACAAACCACGAAAAGGAACTACTATGGGGCCTATGGGTAATCCCCAAAAACGTAGACTCCGAACTTTGCCTGGATGGACGCGAGGCCTGCGCACATCTGCAGCTTCTTGGGTAGCTTAGGTGAATTTGAGAAGGGCTCTATCGGGAAAGGGCTTTGGGGCCCATTATACTATAGTTACGATAAGGAACCCCTTAAAAAGTATTGGTAATTATTTAAGCCCCTACATTAACCCTTAAACCCGAAAGGGTCCATGAGTTCGACGACGGATCGGCCCGATTGAAGGACAGAGAGAGAGAGGGACCGAGGCTTTGCCTATCCATTCTTCTAAGAAGCGCACGTATTATGCTGGACGCTTAGCATGTAGGGGGCTAAAAAGAGATATGATTACTCATTTAGACACCTATGCCTCACTTGCATGGGAAAGCACAAACGCTTGGCCTCTGATTCTGAACGGTAAACACCATCCCAAGACACAGAACAAACCCGAAACCCCTTAACTTGCAAGACGACTTTCCTCAGGCCGCAGCCTGTCTCTGTTTTGAGCTTAAGGCTTGGCTCTGGGGTTTACCCATAGGCCCCATAGTAGTTCGTTTTTGGGGTTACCTTATCCGCCGACCCTTGCAGGGCGGCGCCAGTGATATTTCGAGAGGTTTCTTCTTCTTGCGACCCGCTTCATCGCCCGTCTTTCCTGCGTTTTTTAGCGGTCTTGNNCATTGGTAAAGCTTCGGGACTGAGCGCTGGCACGACCGCGTTTCGCGTGGATCTCGGTTACTTGCGCCTTTTTTAGCGCTTTGAAAAGAAGGCGAAAACGCTATGAATATCGAGGATTTCGCGTGTTCCCAGCATGCCTTGTCTCGACGATGTTTGTCGTTCAAACCGCTGTTGTTAATGGCTTCGGGTGTGGACTTGGGGGCCGGGCGGGCGAGCATCATGAGCATCAGCTGGAGGTTTGTGGGCCGTTGGGGGGTCTGTGTGGGCAGTCTACAGGGCGGTACAGCACGAAGGACCCCATTGCTAGTGTACCTGGTTCTGGGGCCGTTTTGAGGCGGTTCCAGTGGCCCCACGACCGGTGACTGTGATGCTGCTGATGCTCGCGTACGGCGCGCGCGCGCGGTTGAAGGGCAGGGGGGGAGCACAACAAGGCTTGCCACACTGTCGGCAGCATCTTCGGGGCGAGAATCGGAGCGGCGACGGCCATGCCGGCCCGCGCCGCCAGGCCCTACAATAGGATTCTATATATGAACCCCAAAAAGGAACTACTTTAGGGCCTATGGGTAGGGTTTAGGAGGTAAAGAAAAAAGGCCGTCAAAGCCTTGAGCCCCACAACCGCCGAGCCCATCACGACGGGTGTAAGCCAGGAACCCCTCTTGAACCCCCGAAGGTCCAACCTCTGAGCCGCAAAACCCTAAACTCTAAACCCAAAAGCCAAAACTCCACCTAAACTCCAAACCCTAAACCTCCCAGCCCACGCCCCAGCGCTAAACCCCGGCTGAAACCACCAACACCCCCTTGATGGAAGATTCAATAGATCGGGGATCTTACAGGAAGCTGAATAAATAGCAGGATCCTTGGTACCACATCACGAGGCAAAAGAAGCCCCTTAGATTCACACGTCTAGTATGCATGTTCTCCTCCAACACTCCCTGTGTTCAAACTTAATGAAGACCAAGCATGATTCCTTAGAGGACAGCCCCCGGGGCACCGAAGCCTGAAACGATGGGTTCTTTGGGAGTTAGGGCGCGCTTAGCATCAAAATCCTAAACCCACCTCTCCTTCCAAGGACTTACAGAAATCATAGGACGGAGCCCTGCAATGGTAGTTTGTTTGAGGCCCCTAAATGCAAATCCTAATGGAGGAACCTGATTAAACCTGGCCCGCTAAATCCAAAATACAAGGGCCAAAATAAAGAGCCCCAGGGTCATAACAAATAGTAGAAGCCGTAGAAGCCGTTGGAAACCCAATAGCCTTAATCCTCAAGAGTAATGTTTGGGGAATCCCAGCACTATCTGTCCTTAATCCGGTTTCCAGCTTTGTCTTTGGGGGTTACTGAAGACAGAAGGGTGCTTCATCAGGTAGTTTCCGATTATCAGGGTAGTATCTTATTTTGGGGTCCTTACACTAAGGACCCTACTATTTAGGGTACTATACTAGCATCCCATATGTTCGGAAACCTTCAGACTAAACATCTCCATGGCCTTGCTGCAGGAGCTCGACGATATGATCCGGCGAGGAAGCCGCGTGCCACGAGAGGTCTCGAACGAGCGGAAGTTCAGGGTTAGGCTTACGGATGCAGGGTTTGCCGTTTTACGGGCTGAGGGCTTGGGGTTGAAATTCGGGCTTTAGGGCCTTAGGGGTAGGTTTAGCGCTTTAGGGATTCAGGCTCCGAAGGTTCACTGCAGCGGGCCCTAAACCCAAGGCCCTAAACTTTCAACCCTAGCCTCGAGTTTACGCTCTTTATTGCTCAGCCTGGATCGGCAGGGTTCAGGGTTTAGGGTTTTTCCCAACGCTAAACCCTAAGCCCTATAAGGGCATTTTAGGGTTTCCGCGCTTAAATTCGAACAAATTCCGGCGGTCGGCTTGTGGGCTTAGGTCGGCTTGGTGAAACTGCAGTCAGCCAGGAAGCTGGGACAACAGCTGTAGCAATGGAGGGTTAGGGTTTAGGTCGGTTTAGGGTTTAGGGAGTTTAGGGCTTGGGGTTTGGAGTTCTGTAAGGGCATTATAGGGTTGATGCTCGCGCAGCTCGGACTCGGCAGGTGAAATCTCCACATCTTTCGCTTCACCAGGCGCGCACGCCCATGAACCCCCAAGCTTCGGGTTTAGGATTGATCGAAACGGAGGTTCCTGCACCCTTATAGTTCCATGTTTAGTGGGCTCCTTGTTGTGGTTTCTTTGCCGAAGTCCTCAAAAGGGGGCGGCTATTTCTCGGTGGTTCAGGCAGGGCTTCGTTTTCAGCGGGCTTTCGGGTTGTACCCCTGAGTCTGGGGTTTAGGGGTTTAGGGATGGATTTTTTCGGATCGAGGTTTCTGGCCTAAACCCTAAACCCTACGTGAACCCTAAACCCTAAACCGTGGTAATGACTTCGGGTTTCGCCTCGATCCCTTTTGGGGTTCTCGGATTTGGGCTCGGGTCTTTGACCGTTCGCGGTATCACCAGCACAGACATCCTCGGATTCCGTAAGACCCAGACTCCTTGTCCTGCAAGGGGTTTAGGGTTTAGGGTGAGGCAGCGAAAGCCGCAAATAAATTTTCCAAACTCTTCAGATCTCGAAGACAGAGGCCCTACTAATGAAGCAAGAACCCCAGACCTTACACCCTAAACCCTAAACCCATGGGTTAAACTTGTGCTTTAAACTCCGACACCTATACCAGGCCGTGATGGCCTGGCAGGCCCGCGCCCTCGACACCATGCTTCAGCCGAAGAAGGTCTCCTCTTCCTCTCTGTTTCAATAGATCTCGCAGCTCCTGGCTTATGTTTGGGGGTTTAGGAGTTAGGGTTTGGGGTCGGGTAGAGCTTCCAGGGTTTAGGGTCAGCCACCTATGGCGAGTTTGTGATAAGCAGCAAGGCAGTTCTGGCAGTTTCAATGGCTATGGGATTATGTGGCGTTCCAGTGGCAGCGTGGTCGTCGTGTGGCATGCGCCACCGTGGTCGGTGTAGAACGACATGTGCGAGTTCCAAGGGCGATGAAAGCCGACACTGCCCATTTCGATCAATTCTGCCACTTATGATGGCAGTCATGACAACGATGACGACGAGCATCGCGAGGTTCTGAACGCAACAGGACATGTAACACGCAGCAGACACACTGCCAACAGCCATGTTAAACATGATCAACAAAAAGGAACAGGAGTTGGAGCACAGACGATGGAATGACTGGATACTCGTGAACCACAATGATCCCGTGAGTCATGGCCCTGTCGACTGGACTCGTCACAAGATCCTAGACCCTAAACCACCTAAGGTTGAACCCATGGGCCCCTAGTATGGGCCCTTAACCCTGGGATCCTTGTACACCTAATATATACCCTATATGTACCCTTAAGGGTCCCTAGAAAGGCCTAAGGGTCCATACTGGGGGCCCATACTCCTAACCTTAGAAGCCACCTAGACCCTAAACCCTATTAGCCTCTTCTCTTGTTGCCTAAAGGGACGACGCAGCTCGCGCAGGCCAGTCCTCGCGGTGCATGCTGAACATTGAGACCTGTAGGCCGCTCCGGTGCGTCGGAAGGGGGGGTGGGGGTGGGGGGGGGGGGCTGGTGAATGGTGTAAGGGTTTAGGGTCTAAGGGTTTAGGGGTTTAGGGTTTGGTGATTTAGGGTTTAGGGGTTCAGGTTTTAGTGATTTAGGGCTTAGGGTTTAGGGGTTTAGTTTAGGGGTTTAGGGTGTAGTGATTTAAGGTTTAGGGTTTAGAAGTTTAGGGTTTCGTGATTTAGGGTTTAGGGTTTAGGGGTTCAGGGTTTAGGATTTAAGGGATACGATGGTCGAAATATTTAGTAACAGAGTCGCTTTTCATCACAAGCGCTATGCTGTTTCAATGCCTACTCCAACCACTGCGGCCCCATTTTGGGCGAAGTTGTGTTTGGCAGACGGCGTACGAGTCTCTAAGATGAATTCAAATTCCCTAAGCCCGAATCGTGCGCCCACAGGCTGTCAGGGCGCTTCTGGCAGATCCTATAAAGAATTTGGGGCTTCACTCCCCCTGGCCTGTTGTGAATTCACGGCTTCAGTCGATCGTTATGTGCCTGCAGTCTTCAATCACGAAAAATACAACACCCAATCAACCAAACAGATTTGCAGTTTAAGCGTATCTGCATAAAGTAATAAATCTTCATGTGCCAAGGGCCTGGGCCCCGAACGCTCAACCTTTCGAACACCGACGGGCGTCTTGTATACCAAACGTTCAGCAGCTGCTGCGGCTCACACAAAGCCACAGTCTAGCAACGGAACTCAAGTCGGCCCAGTCTGTGTGCCAACCCTTTTTGGAGCTTCCAACAGACATCCTGCCCACAACATCGAAAAATCTCCTACGCACAGTCCCCTTAAGAGATTTTTCCATGCAGCTGACTGAGGCGCCGTGCTCCTATCAGGTAGGGTTCATCTGCTTCCTGCAACCTCGCGAAGAGACGCTGGCCTCAGAGTCGAAGGAACTTGGACGGCATCGTCTCAGTTCGCCAGGACGCCAGCCAAATTTGTGATTCCCGAACGTCCTCATAATTACAAAAGGGCTTTGGGGTACATTGTAGTCGTTATAGCGTATACTACGTGTATACTATGTGAGGACAATATAGTGAGGGAGACCCCTGTATTGTGAGGTTGAGGGTCAGAAAGCTTTTATTTGGATCTCGGCCCACAACCGGGCATGCAAGGTGCGGGCTGCAGTTGAGCATAACTCATGTTTTGAGTATTAATCTCAGCTTGTCAACGTCAGTTGACAAACTGTGCCGGCATGGTTTCGGGGACAAATGTCCAATCCCTGGAGCCAGGGCTGTTAAGATTCTTTGCCCGGAGGGTTCAACCGTGAATCTGAGGCCAGCTTCGATAGACAACCCTTTAACCGCACAAGAATTGACTATGCAGTGAGAGGAAGACTAGTCGTGCAAGAGGCGAAACACAAACACCCACACCCACACCCGAATGCTGACACTTCGACCTTTACGGATCAAAACCTGATGGTGTCGACAAGCGAAACGCTAAACCCTACACTCTGCAAGCTTTTTTTGCATCCAGGCCTATTGCAACTGCCGGGTATCCCTGAAAGGAAAGAAAACTCAGGCCTTAAACCCTCTGATTCTCTTTTTTTATTTGAACCCAGGCTCTTTGCTGATTCCCTAAAACCCAAACCCTAAACCCTCAAACCCCACCCTGAAACCCTAAACCTCAAAACACTGGAAGCCGGGAAGCAGAAGTGAGGGATCCACCCCGGCCCCGGCCCATCCGGACGCAGCAGAGATCCCAAAAGCGTGAAAGTCTTGCCTGCTCTTGGGGTTTAGGTGTTTGAGGCTTGAAATCTTCAGGGTTTTAGGGTTTAGGGCTTTCGGGTTTTGGGGCTTTCTACGGCGGCTACCTACAGACTACTACTGCAGGTACTACTACTACTACTACTACTACTACTACTACCACTACTACTACTACTACTACTACTACTACTAAAACTACTACTACTACTATTACTACTACTACTACTACTACTACTACTACAACGACGGCGACGGCGACGACGACGACTGCTACTACCACTACTGCTACCACCACTGCTACTGCTCCTGCTGCTGCTGGTGCTGCTGCTTCTTCTTCAACGTCTCTGCCGGAACTGAAGCACAGACCTCGCAGAACCCAGTTCATGCAGCAAGAAAAGCTGCAAAGACTGTAGCAAAAGCGAGGGTGCTACGGATGTTTCTTTCCTATCGCTGCACTCGAATCATGTGGGAACACCTTCCGAACGTCCTCCACTACTCACTAATCATTCCAAAATCAAGTTGTTTCGGACCACCTGGCGTTCCACGTTCGACACTTCCTGTAAAATTGTTGCCGGTGCCACCTGCTCCCTTTGCTCCAAAGGCCACGAAAGTTGAGCTGACACCTTGGCCGGCGGCTGTCTTGGATTTAACCCCTAAGCCCTGAAACCTCCGGTTGCTTCAACCATGGAAGCTCTCGGCCAATTACAGTTGGAAGATACTGTAGCCGTTGCTTTCTGAACGTCCTTGGAGAGCCGTCATAAAGCTGATACAAAACCCCGTAGACGACCACCAAATCCAAACTTAGAAAACTCCGGCAATAACTTTTCAACAACTTTGATGGAACTCTAACAAACCCAAATCCCAAATCCCAAAAAGAAACTGTCCAGCGTCTTTGGTTGAATGGGATAATATAGATAAGGAAATGAAGAAATTGAAGTACTAGTAATTCCATCAAGTATGTAAATATCTCGTAATTACGACACCACGGTGCCAAGTATATGTCTTAGGTATATATTGTACATTGGCGCAAACTGCGAACTTTCTGAAAACATGAAGGAGAATCAGCGGAAGTGCAGTAGACCTGCCGTCCGTGCTAAGCCAGCATCCCGTGCAGGACGACCGCAAGCTTGCAAGTTTCGCGGCAAGGGTGCGTTGGGTTCTGTTGGAAGCCTAACAATACTTCAGCCCTGACTGGGATCCAGGCGGATCCACGGCTCGATGGAAATGGCTTATTCTAAATCCATCAAACTGCGTCCAAAACCTGTCGTTCGATCACAATAGCATTTGTATCACGGTTGCGGGCTATGACCATGGCCTCTACTAAAAATCTTCTGGCGCACTAGGGCTTACCGTCCGTGAACTGCACCGTGGCTGCAGACTTTCACCATAGATGCGAAAGTATTCGAGAAAGCTGGAGGTGCAAACCTCACTGCAAATCACCCAAGCAGGACTTGTTCAAGCCCAGTTCCTGGGATATGCTGAACAATGAGCCTACATTCGCACCAGCAAGAAGTACGGAAAGCTTTGCGGACCTGCCTGCAAATGTCTCGGTGTCTTTTCAAACGCCACCGGAGGAAGCGTGGTAGTACTAGTCGTAGTCGTCGTAGCAGCAGCGGTGGTAAAGTAGTGCAGCAGTGCAGTGGAACTTTTTGCTTTGGCACTGCAGAAGTACCACGGTAGTACCAGTGGTAGTAGTAACATGTAATAGCAATACAGTAGCAATACCTTTATCTCAGGCCTACCCTGCTGTTGTTTGCTACTTACTATCATTATCTTTTTTTGTTAATTTCGAAAAAACTGTGACTATAGTCATGGTTGCTATAGTCACTTCTGTTCTGATTATTGTGATTATGATTGCGCTCAATTAAAACTGTTCAGTGACCAACTCAGATCCGCTCTCCAACAAATAGATGTGCGGAACGGGATCTCGAAGGATCGTCCGGACTCTCCTGGCTTGAGGGCTTAGGGCTTCTATAAGTGGGGTCCTCCAATTCCCTTGTTTTTTGAGTTTTGTATGGCTTTGTAAGCGAGCCAGAACCCGTCCAAGAAACCTCATGCCTCATATTGGAATTTGAATTGAAAAAACTTCCCAAATGGCCACCAAGTCTCTCAGAAGTAGCCAGGTCAATGGCTCGGAGGCCTCGGTTGTTCCGAATCTCCGGGTCAGCCCGCTCACGCAGCAGGAAGGTCAGGAGGCCTTCGTTGCCAAACACGGCGCACCAACCCAGAGGCGTTGAGCTCAAGTTGCCGAAAAATCGGACCAGTGCACCTGACCTACCGGCACATCGGCTGCTGACTCGAGCCATCAACTCGATCGGCCTGAAGATGCCCTCCGGCCGGCAACGCTGATTGACGTCCGCCTTGTTGTCCAGCAACAGCTGCGCGTTCCGCAGATCGTTGTGGGAGTCACCCGAGAATGCAACATTGTGGAGAGGTGAGCATGCGACTCCGCCCCCTCCGCCCAGCACGTCCGCTCGAAGCTCCAGAAGTCTGGCAACAACTTCACAAGGTGCTCCGATTGCTCCTACAGCGAAATGAATGGGGGGCAATTGTGCTATTGTTGTTCCCAAATTCACGTCAGCTCTGTTCTCGACCAGGAGGTCTACGGCATCCACTGTACGGCAAGAGGATAGAGGGGACGAAGCATTGAGGGTGCTGCAGTTTGGATCGGCTCGAAGCTCTAACAGCGTCTGCAAGACTCGTAGGTCTTGACTTCGGAATTCCAAAGCAAAGTGCAAAGGCATCAACTCCGCATTAAATGTCTCAAGCATGCCGGGCGCGCGTGCGTGGAGGGAGGCCCTGGCACTGACTAGATTGCGAAGCAGTTCATGATCTCCAGAGAGAGCAGCGCAAACTACAGGACCAAGGCTCTTGTGCTGTCCCACAGGTTCAGAGAAGCAAAAATCATGAAGGAATTCCTCCATGCTGCGTTTCTTGTTCTCACATCCAGTCATCTGCTCGAAGAGGGAGAGGTACAATCGGTAGGCCGTCTTGTTCTTGGCCGCACGCAGCATGGACAGATACTTCATCAAAGCCTTCTGGACAAGTAGACTGCACGCAGCCTTGTCATCCTCAACAGCGAACATACCCGAGTAAACCGGATATCGCAAGGAAGACAAGCCTGTCATGTATTGAGCGGAGTCTTCACCCTTTACGACCACGATGGGAACCTTCGATCTTGTGGAAAAAGACTTGCACCAAAATTCGGTGCGGCACCAACCGCGGTCCAGCCAGCTGTTCAGTGAGCATGGCACTCCTGTGTCATGATGGATGCACGGAGGCACCAAAGCCAAAAAAAGGGCACATCGGTCCACGTAGCTGTGTATGCTCCACACGTAGCGGAGCTGCTCGTAAGCTAGGCTTGAACTGGCAGATTCGACGAGCTGAGGGACACAGATGTAGTCCAACCACAAATAAGCACCAACCAGTTTGTCAAGCTCTGCTTTCGGGCCCGTACCACCGAAAAACTGCGTAAGAACATCGTACTCTATCGTCACGGTCTTTGCCAAAAGATTCCTTAGAAGCCCCTGAAGCACTCGCAATTGCTCAGAATTGGGATCAGGATGGTGACGACCGAGCCACTGGTGTGAAACAAAGAGCGTGAACAGCCCCGAGCTCCAGTGACGTAGAAGACCTTCAGCCTTGAGGGCTTGATGGTGTTTCAGCTTCCCTGTCATTGCAAGCAGGTGCGCAACTTCCATCACCCACATGGGCGCAAGTTCATCAGAGCCATGGCCCTGACCATTGGAACAAGTCTCCATGGCGCTTGGAGGTATCGCCTCCATGCTCCTTAGGCAGGAAGCCTGCCGGAGCACAACCCTAAATCCTAAACCCTTCTCCATCCTTCACGCCTGGAAAACACTGAGCTAATGCCGATACCCAATAGTAGCACTTCGCCTGGGATAGGACCCGAGAACAAGAACAGCTGTGTCAGCAGAACCGAAACGCACCCAGACGTCAATTTCCGAGGTACCGCAATAACAATAACAATCGCAACAATAATGGTAGCAGTAAGAATGATAGGAAGAAGAACGGCAAGAAGCATGATAAGACAAATAATGAATACTATAGTAATGATACTGAGAGTAATAACATGTCAACTAAACCACAAAACAAATATTTACTACCGTACATCCTGAATCCTGCACCCTAACCCTGCCCCTCTCAACAACAACGAAAAAACAAAAACGAGGGCCCGGGCCATCCAAGGCATCCTGGAGCGCCGGCTCAGCAATCTGGCAGTGCGGCACTCATCTTGGGGGGGGGGGGGGGGGGG